TGTGTGTGTGTGTGTGTGTGTGTGTGTGTGTGTGTGTTACACCTGCATGTAGAGCTGATGGCGGAATTTTGCAGAAAATAACCTAAATACAAATTAAACGTAAAAAAAAGCTCGAGCTCAGCCCTCATTTCCCCCTTTAAAGCCCACCTGCTCTGAGTCAACAAGAAGTCTGCACCTTTCTGAAGGTTGTGGTTTATTTTAATTATTATTCTTTATTCCAAATAAATGAGAATCTGCTGCAACAGATCAATGTTCAGCTTGTTCACGCTTTTCAGGCTGATTTGATCAAGTGATGACAGCAGCTTTAGTGCTGCAGCCAGATTATAAAAACATGATCTCCCCTGGGACACTTTTTTCCTTTTCATCTCTTTGACCTCCTAATGGACCTGTGAAAGAGGAAGAGATTTTGGAAAAAAAATCAAAATAAAAGATCAGTGTAAGTGAAAAATGATGTCTTTATAGACAGGATCAATTTCTGTGAGCAAAATTTGTCCTTCAACCTTTTTGATGTGATAAAGGTTAAAATGATAGCATTAAAAAATGAACTAAAAACACATTTCTATTTAAAAAATTGTATGCCTGTCTTTTTAATCTGACTAAATATGTGTGACATCATTTTTAGAGAGCAATGCAGTCTGTCAAACATTATGTTTTCTTCATAAAAGAGTATTTAGCACAATTATGCCAGAAATTCTCATAGATTCAAATACTGCAAGAGTTTATAAAAACAGATGATGGAGCTTGTGATGTAGAAGGTATTTACAGGGGGTAAATCTATTCAAATGAATATAACATAATTTAAATGATCAAAGGTGTGGAGCCGCTAATTAGTAATAATTTCTGGTGTTAAACTCACAGAAGCTCTGCTGCTTCTACAAGTCATTTTCACCTCATGTCTCCACATGAACAGGATCAGTGGAAGCAGATCTGCTTCAGTCATCGCGCTTTAAAACGCTGCAGCAGCTTTTCAGGCTAAAATAAAACAGCACATTTTAAAGAGATAAAACCCTCCTCAGGCCTGTGCAATCCGTGTGAAAACTCTCCCCTCTTCTGCAAAGAAATAGAGACCCCCAGGAAAAAAAAGAGAAAAAAATCTTTCGTTTCCCTCGAGCGCAGACATGAATTTCTGACTCATTAGCATTTATGCAAATGACTTTCTAATTGCAGGCGTAATGACTCTGGCGTGGGAGATTTTTCAGTCCGCCATGTTTTTTTTCTTCTTCTTCTTCTATTTCTGCATGCTTTGCCTGTGTTTATGTGTTTATTGTTCTTCCTCAGAAGACTTTTATTTGCAGCCTCCTGTCAGGAATCCTGCTGCAGCTTCGTGACGCGTTCAGGAACAGTGGGAGACTTTTTGTGTTTGCTTTTGATCCGGCTGCGTTTCTCCTTTTTTAAATTTTATTTCTTTACTGATGCTGTGAAGTCCCGTTGTTTCCTCCTTTCAGGACGTGAAGGAAGCGGAAAATCAACTCAGAGGTGAGCGTTGTGCCTCTGAGCACAACGAGGAGGTAAAATGGCAGCACGTGAAGGTGGCAGCAGCATCAGCCACAATGAAATAAATACACATCTTTAAAATGCAGGACTACATTTGATTTAAAAATAATCATCTTTTTGTTTTAATTAGTCAAATATTTGAAAGAAAAAAATGCATGTGCAATGATGAAGACTAAATATCAAATTAAAAAAAATGTTTGTTTAATAATGTTGGTCAAATGATTATTGCTTTTATTTGCGTTTTGCTCATCTTTAAACCATGCCACTGCTCAGTGAACTATAGATGTGTGTGTAGTGTCTGAGTGTGTGTATAGGGGTGTGTGTGATGTCTGGTTTGGCACAGGGAGGCTGTTTGGGCCCCCACAGAGCTGCAACAATATGGGCAGATTTGAGGGACAAAAGCCTCCGGAGCTTTGAGTTGCTGAGCACGTCTCCGACACCAGAATCCTCATGTTACTGGGGATGCTGGGATGTTGCAGAAACATGAGACCAGGAATGGAAGACTGCAACAGTTTGTGTCCGTGCTGCAGTACAACAGGCTGCACAGGCGTGAGTGTGGGTAAATTTTGCAGAAATAAAAGCATCAACAAGTTTCAAAAGGAATTTCATGTATTTAGTTTTAAAAATTAGCTTTTGAGGTTTTAGTCTGACTAAGATTATCCTTTTTTTTTTTAACCAGCCTGCTTTTCCAGCTTCATAATGTTTCCATGTGTTTCAGGATCAATGGAGAATCAACATTTTTTTTTGCCTAAAGGCAGCGTGGCTGTTGAATGCTGGAAGATTTTTGCCCAAATATAAGAAAATATTAACAAAAATTTGGCAATTTGTTGTAAAGTAGCTATAAAAAAGGTTGAAATCTAGCACAAAGAAGGGGAAGCACAATTAAACAATAAATGACCACAAAAAGGTGACTTAGTTGAAAAAAGCTCAAATTAGCTGAAAAAGCCTGAGACAAATTGCAGAAATAAACATCAAAAGCTTAAAGTAGCAGAAAGAAAGTGATAGAGGTACAAAAAATAATAAAAAAATGAAACAATCAGAATCAAAATGAGCAGAAAGATAAAAGCAGAAAAACACTAAAATTAGAAAAAAGAAGCAAAAATGACAAAGAAGTAAACAAAAAGCAGAACTGTAACAAGGAAAAAGTTTAACTTTTGAAGGATTTTAAGGATGTTGAAGACAACTTTATTCATTTTCGATAAAATAAAAGATGGCCAAAAAAATGATAAATATCTCAAAAAGTGTTCATTGCTGAAAGACCAAAGATCACAGTCAAAATGTGGTGAAGGAGATGAAAGTTTTGAGGCATGAATTGTTGAAAAAGATAAATGCCAAAAAGAAGACAAATGGATCATCTCAATAAGTGAGACCACCTCAGACCAAATCCAACGTTTGACCTCAGTGGTTTGGATTTTTGCCAGTCAGTCAGACTGGTTCCGGTTGTTCTGGAGAACCAGTTGTTTAATGGTGGAATTAATTTCACCAACTTTCAACAAGTAAATGAAGCAGATATTATTCCATGCTGTGATGTGTCATCTGAACCTGTGAGCACTTTCAGTTAGGAGACTGCTGATGGTTTTTTTTTTTTTTTGGATGACAGAAGGTTTGCAGCCTAAGTTGTAAAATAAAATTATATTCAGTGTATTTAACTATCTGGAAAAACTGTATTATAAAACAGATTATAGTTTTATATTTATCATATTTTGCACAAGCTTTATGGTGGATGTTTTATTTTTATGAAAGGCTTGGACTGTAATTGTAAAATGTGTAAAAAGCTTTTCTTCTGAAATGTCTCCTGTTTTCTGTCTTTCTTATACCCCCCCATGTTTTTCATCCTTCTGTTCTCATCCATGGTCAGCAGCTGATCTGAGGTGTGAAGCTCGGTGCAGACTCTGTGTGGGCTGTGAACGTCTCCCTCTGCTGCTGTTTAACCTGCAATCTGAGATCTGAACCATGTAAACAAAACAACAAGAGGATAAAAAACAAAGAAAGACGAGAGCGTGCCATCGAGGGATTTCCATTTCACAAATGTTATTAAAAACTGAATGAAATGAAAACAAAAAAAAAAGACCTAAAGTAGGTTTGTTGTACATGAATCTAACGTGGTTGCTGATTGGCTGGAAACTAAACCTCATGACGGGTGAAAAATATTTGATATTTTAACACTACATGTACAGCCAAGCTCAAAATGTTTGACATTATAAAGCTCTTGAATGTGCAATTAAATAAATAATGTTATTTATTTATTAAGTTTTAGTATTTATATTTTTACAAGGGGATATATTTCCAATTTGTATCTCAAAATAAACGTGTTTAAGAAAGCAAACTAATGTCTTTTCTGTTGCTCGTGCATTGCTTATAACGTGCTGCTCCGTCTAAGTTTATATGAGACATTTGTGATTAATGAGATAAAAGAAATAAATAATAGTTAAAATCCTGTGGACTCTTTTATGGTTTTGGCCTTGCCTTGTTTGACCTTCATGCCGATGAATGGTTGTCCCTCTGCTGCTCCTGTAGCAGCAGCAGGTCTTCATCAGCTCTGATCAGGCTGGAAACACAGACCCTTCAGCTCAGGACACATATGAGCAGCAGATCCTCTATAAGACGCAACAATGTTATAGTGTTATAATGTTTTATTTTATTGTGACTAATACGAGGATTGTTTTCTCAAATAATCCAGTCAAATCAGCAAAAAATATCTAAGTTCTGGGTCTTCTTACAAGACAACCAACAGCAGCAAATTTGAAAATCTGAAACAGCGCCATCTTTAAATATTTGCTAGATTTTATTCCTGGAGTAAATGCATTCGACACTGTTTAATTTGGAAAACAAAATAGCACTATTTAAATTAAGCCACAGCAGGCCCAATTAAGCCATTCAAAACTGCTTTTAAGAGTGAATGCAAATTTTTCCAAAGCTTTTATGGGGCTTCTGCTGATAATTATTTAATATTCAGGTCATGTTTCCAAGTCAGAACTCTTATAGGATCCTTTGCATTTGCATTAAAAGAAGGTTTTACCTTCTATTAAAACTGTTTTTAATTAGAACTTTAATATCGTTAGTCATAAAGCTAAATTCAACACCACTTAATTATGTGATACAGCTGTTGCTTAGGAATTGTTATAATTACTAACTTGAAGCTTTTTCTTTCTACAACATGAATCTTTGATCCTATTGATACGTTTTGTTGCAATAAGAAAAACACACAGGGACCAGCAAAACGCAGGCCTTTGCGGGGTTAACAGCATGGAGGAGGTGGTGGTGG